AATACTGAATAACTCGAGCTTCAGGGAGTATTATCGACAGGTGCTTCGGAAAAAGTTCAGATAGCCTCAAAGTAATTTCTACATGGTACAAAAAATGACAATGCAGTGATCATTTCTGGGTCTCAGGAACTATTCGTAGAGACCTGCATAAGCCTACATTAAAAACAAAGTTAAATCGAACAAGGTACCGCTGTCGACCTCTCTAACTGCCATTATACTTGCATTTGAGAGAAAGGATGTGTAATTGAATTTCTGCCTAGAGAGCAGTTCCTTTAAAAAATTGCGTGTAAAGCAGCAACACAGCAACGAGTGCGATTAACTTCCATACTGCCAAAATATTATTAAAATGAAGAATCAACTTGAAATACATCTTCAAGCACAGAAAGATAATCGGGTTGTTACGGAACGGGAAGCAAGAGCAAATGCAGAGAATTGGATTCAGCGATTTATTTCTCTCCTAATGATCAAAAAATTACTGTAAGATAGTAACCAAAATTTTTGGATGTTCGTATGTGCAAATTTTGCAACTGCAAGTTTCGTTTCTTTTCTTGTTTAGTTATATAATTTTAAATTTTTAGGCTATCATTTTTTGCTGACTCAGGAATTTAAGGTCATACCGGACAGTTACAGACATTAGCAGTTAAACTCATTACTTAACTTGTTAGACCGCGGATAACCCGTCCAAGAACTTATTTCAAGGCGTATAGCACTGCTTTCTTATAATCCTCTCGTGATATTTTTGCACATGTAGTACTAGATCCATATCGCGTAATTTTTAAATGAGCGGTGGACAGTGAAAATATGGTCTGGAGTAAAGAGATGCTCATTTTTGCAGAACATCGACATTTAATTTACTTCCTGGTTAATTGCACCAAAGAGCACATAATTTGTACATTTTCTTTAAGTGCGTTGGTAATGAGTTTAAAATTTTTTTCATCGTTTGTGTATGAAATTAGAATCTCGCGCAGTCCATACGACCAAAACAATTAGTTACTTTGCACCACTGTAGACTTCATATGCAATGGCTTTAACCTCCGACCTGTATAGTAAAAGAAATGGTGGTTCTCAGCCAGTGGTACCCAGGCTAGAACCACACAACATTCGTTTTTGCTACAGATGTTTCACTGATTCTAAAGTTCGAAATTTCAAGTATTGGTTCCTGTTTGGCTAGAGAATCACTTATGTTCCTTCGCGCTGGTGAAGCCGAGATTCAGACAGTCGCTTTCTCATTTTGTAACAGGTTTATGCTATGACTGTTTGACCAAAGTAAAATATATGAATTTAGAGATGTTACCGAACTCCGCCACTGCCTATCCCAAACCCGGATGAGATGGGAGGGGGGCGTTGGGCACTGTGGCTAAGTCTCGCGGTATTAGGTCCGCTCATAGTATTTCCGTCATCGAA